GTATAGAGATAGTTGATGCAAATTACAAAAAACTGCAAGTCTGAAAAAAGTATTGCTAATGAGTTGAAGAGAGGTGCTCTGTACATGCTCCCTGTACCTTGCAAAGCACATTTGAAAAATTTGCACAACCCTAGGAAACATAAAGTTGTTATCATCACGTAGTAACTTTTCCATGAGAAAAGATGCAAGACAAACCCCTAGGAAGACAACTCACTTGTCTGTAGGAAGCAGAATGGCACTCAAGGGTGATTTTTAAGAGAGCCCAAGAGCTGCTGAAAATAATGTATGAAGGGCAACCTTTGCACAAGGCTGAAGGCTTATTGATGGCCCCTGCAATGTATGGTCCCTGGCTGAAGAACATGTAAACTTTTGGTATGCCTCAATTTCCCCCTACCCCTCCCTAAATCAAACCAGCAAAAATAATCAGAAAAAGTAATTTGGGAATATATTGGCACAGTCTTACTGCTGGGGTTAACTTCTTGGAACTGGCTAGTAATCTTTTATTGATGTTCCAAGTACCTTTTGCAAACTAAGAGGAGCATTTGAATTATGTTAATTAATTCCTCTCTGCTTGGTGAGGCATAAGGTCCAGCAAGACTACATATGACAACTTTGGCTCTCTTCCTTCTCACAGCTATTTCTTGTGCCTGGTATGTTGGTCTACAATATTGGCTGCAAAAGGCCTAATTCGCTGAGAAACAGGCGCACTTGAAGGAGACGTTATATTTGTAGACATATTTCTCAAAAAATTCCATTCATTATGTCCTTGTGGTGCAGCTCTTTGAAGCTGACAGAAGACAAGATTATCACTATCAGATGGAACAAACATGAAGTTGCATATGCTTTGATAACCAGATGGCAATCATTGAACAAGGAAATTAAAGTCACAATAGTACAATCTGTGCACAAGATGGCAGTAGAAAGCACAAACACATGACTTCATGGGGAGGAGGAAGAAAATGTATCATCTGGAATTAAAAAAAAAAACAATACACAAAAAGAGGCTCAGATTGTGATTGTTATATATTGGTATGGTAACTGCCTGTAAAATGATTTTTCATGTTTTAACATATTAAGTGAAGCATGATCCCTCAATAAGGCCAATAAGCTTATTAGACTTTATTCCTAACCATATAACTGATTTGTTTTATACCAGAATCTCAGAATCAGAATAGGTCTTAATGCAACCCCCTGCTCAAGCAGGAGACCCTATATTGTTTCAGAAAAGAGACTGTCCAGTCTCTTCTTAAAAACCTCCAGTGATGAAGCACCTACACTTTCTAATGGAAAAGCTGTTCCATTGGTTCATTGGCCTAACTATTAGGAAGTTTCTCCTTAATTCCAGGTTGCTTCTCTCCTTGATTAGTTTCCATCCATTGTTTCTTGTCCTGCCCTCTGATGCTTTGGAAAATAAATTGACCCCCTCCTCTTTGTGGCAACCTCTCAAATACTGAAATACTGCTATGATGTCCCCCCAGTCCTTCTTTTCTCTAGATTAGCCAAACCCAAATCATGCAACCATTCTTCATATGTTTTAGTCTCCAAGTCTTTAATCTTAGTTGCTCTTCTTTGCACTTTTTCCGAAGTCTCAACATCTTTTTTGTAATGTGGTGACCAATACTGGATGCAGTATTCCAGGTGTGGCCTTACTAAGGCTTTATAAAGAGGACTAATATTTCAAGTGATTTTGATTCTATGCCTCTGTTTATACAACTAAGGATTCTATTAGCTTTTTTGGCTGCTGCCGCACACTGCTGGCAATTAATTAAGTGATCCTCCACTAGGACTCCAAGGTACCTCGCACAGTTTCTGTTTTTGAGCCATACAAATGGGTAACAAAAACTCAATGCACAATTTCATTTAGACTGAGAATTATACCAGACTTTGTGCTGTTATTTGAGGATTTCACTCCGAAATAAAGGACAGAATCTAAAATGGGCCTGATTGGGGGAAGGAGGTCTCAAGGTGAAATGGGTACTGTAAATCTTTGTAAAACTCCCATTTTATTCCTTAAATTTGCTCCAATTCCCAAAAAAAGAAGAGTAAATTATTAACCTTGCCTAGCCTAGAGAATTGCAGAAGTGATATTAGTGAGCTCTGACCCACTAATTACAGATTTTGCATTTTTGCAATAAATAATTTATTGGTTTTTTTAAAATAAAATTTTATTAATTTTTATAATTAAACAATAAGTAATATGATGCATTTATAACACTAACACACAAAAAAACAACAACAATCCAACTCAATACATTATCGGAAACGCTCGGCAGTCCCCGACCTGCCTCCACCCTCATCCACTTACCTTTCCTTCCTACCTCTAGCCCACAACCTCTCCTCCTTCCTCCTTCCCACTTCTACATCCCCCCTCTTCCTGACCACCTCCTCGAGTACAAGTCGGGGTACCAGCCGAGCATCTCCTCTTATCAATACAATTATTATTAACATATGAATACATCAATTTCGTTTTAATACCCCTAATCCCCTTCCCCCCGAGCTTCCCGGAACCAAATACAGGACTAAAACAAATCATTCCAAATCTAAATTACAATTTAATTAAACAAATATAATAGTATCAATATATACCTACTTTAACTCTAATAAGGCAATTAAATTAATTAAAATTAATTAAAAACCAATATATCTACTCAAAAACTATATAACATTTAATCACTCCATACATCTAATATAATCTATCCACCTTCAACATTTAAACTTTACATAATTTTTTTCTTACATTTTACACTTAAATTTTCCCTTCACTTTCTTCCCTCTCCAGTCTATACTTTCAATAAAATCTTAAGTCAATACCTCCTGCTTCACAGCTGGAAAAATAAAATAAAATCCCAATCTTAATTTTTTACCTCTTTCAAAAAAATAAAATAAAAAAAAAATAAATTAAAAAGAGCAAAAAGCTCTTTACAAACATATGATAAACTAATTTATTCCATTTCCATAATAAAGTCTCATTTCCAGCATTTATCCATCTTTTGGCTTACAAAGCTTGCTAAGCATTCCTTGCATGTCTCTGGCTGCAGCTCTCTTTGGCCTCGCTCCTCCCACTGGCTCTGAAGGCTGTGGATATGTTATAGAAACTGTTTCTTTTTTTTGCTCTCTCTCTTTACGCCTATAAGCAGCACGGGTCATCCTTTGCTCCTTTTGAGGATCTTCTACCGATAATGACATGGCCCCAGGCAATTCCACAGCAAGTTGCTCCATCAGATCTTCCTGTGCTTTAGATGTCGATGATGATGACATATCAGCTTTCAGGACCGACATATAAAAATCTTTGGCTTTTTAAACAGAGTTTAATCTATGTCTGGTCCCTGCGAAATTTAATATAATACCCAAAGGAATTTCCATCTGAAAGGTATCTGCCGCTTCTTTAACTCCTGAGTCAAAAATGTAAAATCCTTTCTTCTTCTTAAAATCTTAGAAGGTATTTCTTTTAAAAGTATAATATCTTGTGCGGCAATTTGAAATCTCTGCTGATAAAAGAGCTGTATAATTTCATTACGACGTATTCTTGTAGTAAAATAAACCACATCTCTAGGTAGATTTCTTTGACGTGCAACCCAGGAGTTCACTCTAAAAGATTTTTCTATTTCTCCACAAATCACCTCTGGGTTGCAATTCAATACCCGGGCCAAAGCTGTCACAACTTCCTCTTTAAGTTTCTCTTGTGGGTCCTCTGTAAGACCCCTGATTTCTCTTGTGGGTCCTCTGTAAGACCCCTGATTCTCAGAGCAAATTGTTTATATTGCAATATTAACATATCATTTTGAAAAGTTTCCACTCCTTCCTCTACCTTTTCAAGTCTATCCTCCGTTCCCTCCATTTTCTCCACTAATTCATCCACTCGTCCCTCTACCCGATCAATATGAAGTGCAAGTCCTTGAAAAATATGTGATAAATTTTCACAAAGTTCCTGATTCTTCTTATCCAAAAGTTCTTCTGTTTGTTTCAAAGTCTGCAATGAGGACTTGGCTAAAGCCTCTTGTAAATCTTTGAGTGTAATGGAGGGAGGAGGTGTTGGTGGGGGAGATCTAGGTTTTTGTTGTTGAGTTTGCACCACAGGAGAAGAAATAGCTGTTTTAGCCAACGCAGGAACAGTACGTTTTGAAGCCATTCTGCCAAATTATTTTTTTTAAAAAATCACAGCAAGTATAAACTTAAAAAGCTTGACTTTAAATAAAAAAAAATTAAAATCCTTTAAAGTACATCCACAACCGGAAAGAAAGTGAAAGTTTTCCTTTTGTTAAAAAAAAGGAATGCTTCCGCGGCCATTTTCTTGTCACTTTCACTTATAGCAAGTAAAAAATCCCAATAGAGTCTTCGAGTTAAAGTCACTTTTTAACTAAAATAAAAATCCCCTGTCAGATTCCGTCTGTTTCAAAAGTTACTCACAAGCAGATACAATGTAACAGCAGTGGCGGCGACGTCTGGCTTCGCTCCGAGGAACGAAGACACACCGAGCTGCGGAGGAGGTCAGGACTCCGGGGGAGTTCTCACCTACATCCCCCCAGGATCGCTCCTGGGGGGACTAGGGAACTCAACCCCTATCCCGACCATACTCACTTTCTCCCCTTCGCCCGGGGAGAAAGTTCCGAGCCGCAAAACAGCTGATCTGCGCTGTTTTGACGGCTTTGACGCAGTCCCGGGCTGGAGGCTGAAGAAAAAGCCTCCTTCGGCGGCGCCTCGCCACAGGAAGCTCATAAATAATTTATTGTTAATGAGGCACTCCAAACCTTGGATTCTCTGCTTTTAATAATGGAATACTGCAACTTTAAAGCTTATCAAGATATACCAGAGAACAAATTGTATAGTTTTCTCAATTCTATAGCAAAAGAATCTTAATGGCATTTTTGTCCAACCTCTGTTCTTTCAAACTTGAGATTATGATTGCTTTAATGCAATCCAACATGTGGGAGCACTTCTGACAAGGGGGCCAAGATATGGATATAAAACAATTTCTGAGCAGTTGGAAAAGCTGACAACAATTTTTCACAACATTTTTAATGCTATTACAGAGCTGCTCTTTTATAGATAAACTGAAACAAAAATACTAAAACTCTATTACACAAAGGTAATGATTATAAAGGTGATGATTATAGGGAAATGATTCAGATTAAGCTAGTTACATTTATGACTCACTGAAATCAGTAAGAAAAGACAATTATAACATAAATCTGAATTATTCCAGTGGAAAGTAAGCACAATTCATTTTTTGTTTTAACATCATGTTTTGTTTTAACTAATCATAAATACATCAAATTTCAGACATTTTTAGAAACTATTACCTTTAAGAGGTGCCATTGTGAATGCTATTAAATACAAAAGCAAGATTACAAAAATAAGGATAATTCTTCCATACATCTGTACGTCTTTAAGTTGTGATCAAACGAAACATCTGATTCTTTAGGTAAGTGCACAGTTGATTCATTAAGTCTCTATTCTGTCCACCAATCCAGTGCATTTCTATTAAAATATCAGGACCTTCTTTCTTCACAATTAATACACATTTGAAAAGGAACCATTCCCCTGAAGTACTAACATTCTTTCCAGTTTCAAGAGCCAGGATATCAGTAGCAAAGGTCTTGGTCCCTTCATTTTGATTACTGGAATTATCTTTGGATTCTGAAATAAAGGATGGTTCCTCTGTGCTGCTGCTTTCCTCAGTGTATCCCTGGATATTTTCCTCCTGAACTGCAGGTGCATTATTGAGTCCATTGCCCTCTGATGACTCAACATCAAGACAAAGTACCTCAGATGGTTTTTCAGTAGACCCATTTGCATTTCCTTCACACTCAGAGACATTGCTGGATGTTTTCTGATTCTTTTCTTCTGCTGATTGCAGAAAATCTTCAGATGCTCGAGGAAGTTCACGTAATTGCCTAACTCTGTCCCTCTTTTTTCTCCTTAAGTGAATCCAGGAATTTTCCACAGCTGTTAGAAACAAGCTGACCTCATCTTTTCCACACGGAAGTGTTTTATGCTGAACCTATTGAAGGGAATACACATCAAACTATAGTGTGGCTCTTTTTTGGCTACTAGCCGTTGCCTGAAGCAGAATTTTTAAAAGTTAGCATACCTTCAGGTCAGTGAGGAGTTTTCTAATCCATGCTGCAACCACTCCTAATCCTTCAACAGCATTGATTCCTACAGATGAAGCTTTCATACCTAACTCTTTGGCTGTAGATGCCAAGACAAGAAATGTGATTGGTTTCCGAGGTTTTTCTAGTTTCCTTTTCTTAGAAGGAGGTGACTGAGGGGGAAAGTACAATATTCAAGTTGAACAAAGTAATTAGAAAACAAAATGATATCCTGAAGAACATGAAGAGAACATTGAAAGGACTTTGATCCTAAGATACATATACTTAGTGGGTTCACAGAAAGATCTGCTATCCCATTCTTCACTATCCTCCTCCCCACAAGATGCCATTGGAAAGCCACATCTGAACATGGCGAACATAACAGAAGGGATTATCAATGGGATTGGGAAAGGAAATGGAACGTATAAAGATAGAAACCTGGTTTTGGACTAAAGAAATTCACAAAAGAGAACCCCTTAAAAAGTGATACCTCATTATTTAGAAAGCTTCTGTCATTTTCCAGATATAAACTTGGGGAGGTAGATGTTGTTAGAGAAGAAAGTCACAATGAGATAGTTTCCTTCTGTGAATTTTTCTAATGTGATGTTCCCTACACATGTTAGCATGCATCTTGTGTATTTTTTGAGCCAGCCTAAAGCTAAGTACATATTCTAAGTATTCTAGAAACTGCAATAATATAGTTACATCACATCTGAGGGAACCATTCTAGAATTATCATCTCCTCCAATTATTTACTAATAAGTAGTTGAATTATTTTTAGTATCTTCATTGTTTGCTGAAACAATGGATACTTTTTGACAACAACAGTCAAAAGGCTATCTCCCTGGGGGTACGAGATGATATTCCAGGCGGAGTGAAAACTTGGGTTTAGAAGTTTCAAAATTATAGTGTATATGAATAATTCGTTATCTCGAACTTTTGTAAGGGGTGCGAGAATATATCAGAAGCGTTCTAGGGGTCAGGGGTATAGAAAAGGTTGGGAGCCGCTGCTGTAAATGATTCCCCACGAAGATTCAAAATAGGTACTGAAAGGGGAGGGCAAGAGAACCACTTACTGGAACTTTGACATTTTCATAGAAGCTCCAAGCCAGGGCCCACCGCATAGTACGACCTTGGCAGAATTCAGTATGGGTGACTTTAGGAACCTTCACAGAAAAATAAAACCAGTCTTAAGTTTTTTTAGTTTTCCAAAAGCTATCGGGGCAATTCAGAAATAAACCTCCATTTGGTTATCAAAGATAGACACTCGCAGATACAGAACTTTTATTATACACATTAGAAAACTACAACATTACATTACTTTTCAACATAATCACCATTCAAATTGAGGCACTTGTCATAACGTCTTACAAGGTTTGAAATTCCTTAGTAGTAGTCGCTCGGCGCCAAATCTGGATTATGGGAGGGGGGTGATCAAAAACATCTCAACAGAACTGCTTCAAAAGTTCTTGGGTGCATCTAGCGGTGTGCGAGCATTATTGTGAATCAACACACCAGAACTGGTGCCATGGAAAATCCTGCCAAATGTGAACATGCCAAAGGACTACAGCTAGTGAAGTTCATGGAGCGTGGTTCGACCATCAATTCAGAAGTCTACTGTGAAACGTTACGAAAACTCTGATGAGCCATCCATAACAAGTGTCAGGGAATGCTGACTTCCGATGTGGTGTTGGCTCATAATGCTCACCTGCACACCGCTAGATGCACCCAAGAACTTTTGAAGCAGTTGGGATGTTTTTGATCACCCCCCCCATATAGCCCAGATTTGGTGCCGAGCAACTACTACTAAGGAATTTAAAACCTTGTAAGATATTATGACAAGTGCCTCAATTTGAATGGTGATTATGTTGAAAAGTAATGTAATGTTGTAGTTTTCTAATGTGTATAATAAAAGTTCTGTATCTGCAAGTGTCTGTTGTTGATAACCAAAAGGGAGGTTTATTTCCGAATTGCCCTAATATATTCTGCAGTTGTCTAACAACAATTTAAGAGACATCTGACATAACATCAAAAAATACCTCATATTAATACTGTATTCTTTTTTATAATTAACCTGTTACAAAAATAAAAATTAAAAATAAGGAATGGTATGAAGAGCAAATCTGGGTAAGTTATAGCCCACACAAGTCTTGAAATATACAGTGTCCAGCTCACAAAATGCACTTCCACAAATGTGCTGATTGGCAGTTTGGCAGGTTAAAGGGAAAGCACAGGTCTTGCAGGAGAGATGATATGCAGAGTCTAAACTCTGCATGCTGTTTTCTCATTTTGCTGTGTGTGGATGGGGGTGGGGAGGGCTGGATTTGAGATGATGTAAATTGGTGAGCATATATATGAGATACTGTACATACACAAGCTTGTGAGTGAAAATATAAACATAAGAGACAAGTTTCTATAGGGGACATTTTTTGCCTAATTTGCATAGAGCCAAATAAGACTGTATCTAAATATGCAGATAACAGCTGGTCTGAAGACTACTATGATCTGAATTTGATCATAATATGATCAAATTAGAACTGACAACTTTATGTTACATGTGATTCAGCCACTATGTTGAAGCAATGCTAATGATAGTCTTGAAAGGAACTTTTGTACATGTTAGTGGTATGATGTCCTTTGAATTCATTAAGAAAAGCAAACTATACTACTTGTTATTCGACACTGCAGAATTTAGATCAATTTACATATTCTCCCATATAATTCCCATTAAGTAGTTGTGGTTTTTTTGTATAATCAAACATTAAGAATAATTTCACCCTAATTCTTAGCACGAGCTTTAAAATTTCTTCAAAAGAGAAAGAGGACAGGAGGAGTGACTGTCAAATAGGATGAAACCAGCAATTTCACATAAACAGAAGAAAAACCATTGTTTCTGCTCCAGATGTCTATGTAAAGTCCATATGGAAAACAAACAAGCTACAGTTTACTGCAAAAGCAAATTCTGAAGTGCGCATCCCAAAATAATATTGGCTTCTAATATATCTATACTGAAGAAAACAGTGGTTTAATGCTTCTTCCGGTTTGAGTTCCTGTGCCGATGGCGGCTTTCCCTTTCGCCGCCTGCCCCGAGGACGCGTAAAAGCCGCAGGAGCAGCGTCAAACAGCTGCTCCGCGGCTTGGAATCCCCTTCCCCGGGCAAAGGGGAGGGGGGAGAGCCTCCCTGATAGGGGTAGAGCTCCCTAGCTCCCACAGTTTTATAGCTGTGGGGGTGGAGGTGAGTTCCCCCGGAGTCAGGGACTTCTCCGCACTTTGGGCTGCCTCCGTTCTACGAACGAAGCCAGACACGGACTCAACCTCTGCTTATGGGAGATCGTGAGTAAATTATGGGAGCAGACAGAGCGATCCAGGTGCTTGGGAGTGGCATGGATAAGAACCTCCAGCTCTGATTTTAATACCTTCTCCATTAAGACTTAAAGTTTAAGAAGAAAAAAAAGAGAGAAAAAATGGCCGCGAAAGGGCGTTTTGCTCTTTAATAGAGACTTTCACTTATTGAGGACTTTCACTTTGGCTTTTATTTTCTGATGGACTATTATTGCCTTAGAGTTATTGGTATGAAGGTGAGCAAAATATCTGTTTTTGCTTTTTGTGGCAGTTTCAAGAAAACTTTAATGGACATTGTATTATACAAATTAAATTTGAGAAGAAGGGAAGAGAAAGTAAAATGGCTTCAAAGCGTGGGGGAACTTTTCCTCCTCCTCAGAAAGGTTTGAGCTCTTCTTCTCCAGCTGTACAGTTATCACAGCAAACAAAG